TGGATTAAAATTACTTTTCAAAGAAAGCATGTGAACAATTTTATTTAATCTGTGCGATACTCTTCAGATCGCAAAGGTTACGGTTATCCAACAGTGTTAACATTGTGTTCTGGCAGGGGGTGGGGAGGGGTGTTCTACCGTTTTGTGGGCGATACAGAAATATTCCATTTGGGATGCTTTGCACCTTATCCGAGCTAAAGGTGTCCGTCGTCAACCCCCCCCCCCCCTCCCGCTCCTTGTTTTTTTTTGCGAGGTAAAAGAACATATATCCTTGGCAGATTCTCAGCAAATTGTGGAGCTAAGTGGGAGCCTATCAGTTGACTTCGGGTAAACCTGTCTAAAAAATTCCAGCGAGTGTGCTCCCCCTGATACCACCGCCACATTTTTCTTTGTGTGAATGTGTTTTTATAAGTGGACAGTTTCAAATCTTTGATAAAGGTTTATCTATTGAAAGTAAAAAAAAATGTTCTCTAAAAACATTAGTCCAAGCATAGTAACTTAAACACCACCTACAAGGGCATCAACCACTTTGTCCTAGATCACGCGAAGGCTCCCGCTGGTTCTCGTAAAATTAATCTCCGCTTTTGTAAGAATCCCGCTACATTCAACAAGCATTCCTAGTTTAAGTAGTCAACATTTTTGTTTTGTCAAAATAGAATTTCTTCACGTAAAAATAACAAAAAGGATTAGGAAAATAAGATTTTCTTAATTTATATCAACACATTTTTTGAATATTTGGTCACTGAGATTATTTTGTTTTCTGTCTAGATTACAGATGAGTTATCTGTCGAAAGAAATTTGCAACGATCAGTCTTGTCGCAAACCGGCAAAGATACTAATTCCACGGCAAAGAGCAGACCACCAGGTTCGTTGTAGAATAATAACACTAAAAATGCAAAATATAAAGTTAGGAACCCTGATAAAGTGTTGGCTCATAAGCCGTCCCAAAAACCCTCACTTTCAAAATGAGGGCAAGTGCAAGAGCTTTCCTACAAAGATGAGTTCTATTTGCATGAGATAAATCATTTCCAATCAAATGCTGAACACTTAACCTCGTTTTGATACAGAGGCCTGGAGGAACTCGGAAATGGCCTATTCATCGTGGGTAAATTATACTAGCTACTGGCGTCGCTGGTCTAAGATGGGTGGGGAGCTCGTAATGGTTAGTTCATAAGTCTGTATCACTTAGACAAGAAAAGTGGAATTTTGGCCAATTTATCTTCAACCGAGATAAGTTGTCCGTCTGACAAGAGGGATTTCCGTATAGGATGAACGCTTACTAGTTTATCACTCCTTCAATTGAGGAATATCCGAACGCCTTAGAGATTGGAACTACGCGTCCCGGCTTAGAGAGATGTCCGTCTTTATATACAGTCAACTAAAAGGATTTCAAAAAGGCAGACCAACTCTTGGTGTCCATTTCAGCGAGATAAGTTTTAATGACCTGTTTAGAGGGAAATTCCGCAGTAACTCCCTAGGTACAGCCCTCTGATGCAAAAAAAAAAACAAAAACCAAAACCAAAAACAAAACAAAAAAACAGCAGCATTTATATGAAGTAGGGAAATGTTCGATTATATTGCCCTGCAAGTAGTTCGCGCGTGGGAAACTAAAAAAGACGTTTTCAAAAGACGATTCTCGCACTTTTAAAATCAATATTCAGTCTTACACTGTAAGTGCTTAGAATATACAACTCAACATACTATAGCCTGTTCCAGTCTTTCAGAGACTGGAGGGTTGCAAGAAATACATAGGAGACAAAGAGGAAGGGATTGAGGGAGGGGGAGGGGGGATGAGAGAAGGGGGAGAGAAGGAGCTATCTCACCCTCTCTCCCTATCCCAGTCGCTGTTTGTCCTGCTCACTTCCCTTTGCGCCGTCCCTAATATCTGAACGGTATAACCTCGAGTTAGCGCCCACCTCGAGTAAACGCCCATCCTAAAGGCAGAAAAAGTTAATAAGCGCCCAGCCTTGAATAAGCGCCCACCCCACCCCACTCCCTCCCACAAAAAAGATATAATTAGAGACCCTCCCGAAGACGGGAGAATGAGAATGGTGAAAATTTAATAAGCGCCCAGCATCGAAGAAGCGCCCACCTCGAATATGCGCCCACTCTCAAGGTCAAAAAATTTAATAAGCGCCCAGGGCGGTTAATCGAATAAATACGGTATTATAGCGAATATATTTTCTCTCGACTAAATGTCTCCACATATGCACGTTCTTTTAGTCCTGACGTGAAGCAGACTGTGTGGGTTTTCATACTGGCGATCCTAATCTCGTATCCCAGTAGGAGAGTACCATAAAAACGAGGTTGTAGTAATCTTTTCGTTTTCTGTTTGTTTGTTTTTTTGCAGTATCTTAAAAAAAAAAACACGTAAGAGCTTACCATAAGGTTATACAGAACGCCAATTTGCAGCTCTCTGACCCCGGGGGGTACTCGTGGGAATTCTTGGTGGGAGCGTGCCACCTGGTTGTCAAAATCCTGACCCTATCTCAGACCAAAAAAATGTCATTTTCCACACCTACTTTCAGACCAGACCTCTGAAACCCATACCCGTTTTCAGACCTGGCCTTTCAAACCCATTTCGAATTCGCATATTTCACTTTCTTTCATACTCATTTGGAATTTAAACCATAAATACGTTCATAAACTCCCGTAGTTCCCTCGAAAACCATACCCGATTCCAGACCAAAATGTTCAACGTGTATAAAGGATTAAATTAACTGCAAAAACCGTGGACGAAGATCCTGCTAGTTGTAAACGTTGGATCTCTAGAAAAGAGATCAAATCAGCCAAAATATAAAGAACAAGAACGAGAAGTCCGAAGACTACAGCAAAGCTGATTTAAAACAACGTGTATTGTTTTTTATAACAATATTTCGGCTGGCCATACCAGCCTTCTTCAGGTTTACAGATGTGGTATGGCCAGCCGAAATATTGTTATAAAAAACAATACACGTTGTTTTAAATCAGCTTTGCTGTAGTCTTCGGACTTCTCGTTCTTGTTCAACGTGTATACCCGTTTTCAGACCGAAAAGCCCCTAAACCCTGCCGTTTAGGGCGGCAATAACTATATGGCTTATATAAGGGAGTATCTCCTCCCCCGGACCAATGACTCTCGACGATGCAAAAACAATTGTCGACAGTTCGTTATCTCTTTAGCGCCGCAAACGTGACAAATCTCAGCAGGGTATTTATTGCTTGAGAGGCCGACGAGAGGTTTAAAAAATTCCAAATATTGCGATAGGAGATGAGTGAAAGGACGAACGGTGACAAATAGTTCATGATGGAACAGCTCTATCTAAAACAGATGCCAATCCTGACAGAAGGGTTTGGGACTACAGGAAACCGCAATAGATGTTGATTATTTGCAATACTGACATTAACTCATCCAAACGTCGTGTTAATTTTTTATCATTAATTTTCTTGTTAAAATGTAGGTCGAAACAAAACCGCAAAAATTGTTTACATTGCATTTGTGACAGTTGAAATATGGGGAGTGAAATCAACGATGTACGCGCGAGAGAGAAGGACACGCATGCTTCCTCTCTCTTCACACGTATGGCTCCCTCGCGATCAGCACTGTACATGTCTTAATCTTTCGTATTTTCTCGCCAGCAAAGCAAAAGCCAAGTGCCAAGTGATGACAATAATCGTTCATTATAATGGGAGTACGTTATTTTGAGTCTCTCTTCTACAAATTTTACTATGACGTCTGCTAGGAAGTCACTACTTTTATCTTGCCCATGATACCCCTCATGATTTGCCTGCCAAATTTCCTCATAACCATTGTTTCCAATTCCGCTACGCTATTGCTGTCTTCTCAGAGAAAGCAAAAACAATGCTTCTGCCTTTTTTTCGGTGGTGGTAGGGAGAGGGGGGAAGGGGTTGGGAGGGAGGTGGAGTGGTTTAGCAAGGTTCGTCAAAGTGGCAAATATCATTTGTCAAATCGGGGTGTTCGTTTTATAGGGGTTTGTTATACGGGGGTTTTACTCTAATAAACCCCTCTGAAGAGTCATTAATTTGTGGTGGAATCAACAGGCCTCTTGCAAACTCTGTCAACGAGTTAATCAGTCGACGTCATTGCGCACACTTGCGTCATTGCATCTTCCAAAACTCGGCTTCTCAGTTCTCTCTGATGATCGATTCATAGTCTACCCTGGGAAACGTGACAACTCTTCAATGATCCACCAGGGTTTGCTTGAAGAATTTTCTTTTCTTTTCTTTAATTAATTCACAAAAAGAATTCACCCAGGCATTTTTTCGGTTTTTAATACGGTTTCACGTGTAAAACGCAGTTTTTCCAGTTTCAACCTTACATGTACCTGGGCAAAGTTTTCTCGTGTAACCACAGCTTACGTATATTATGGTTCCTAAACACCTCTCTTCATCATAACCGCAAAAGGAAACAAATGCAGCAGGTGCTTTTGCTTGTATCAAGGTAGCCTGTTCCATGCAGGCCTTCGGCTTTTTTGTGGTTTTATTTATTACGTAAAACCATAGTTATTAGAGGAGACTGGTTATGAAAGGCAGCAAACACCAAATATATATAAAAAAAAATGTGCTGTAGTTTATGTTGGAAGCTCCCTGAAGGTGCACAATCCTTTGTGTTCTGTTGGAAGATTGTGACGGAATAAATTACTGGGACGTTTTTATTGGTCTATAAGATCGAAATGATGGGAATGCCGTTTGAACTTTGTGCACCGTCAGGTCCACAAAGACATATGACAACGGCGTCTGACGGGCTTCATCCATCCATTCCAAATTACAAACTATGGTAAAACATGCAAAGGAAAAAAACAACAACAGCGAGTTTCCTTCCTTTGTTCTCTTTGTTGTAACGATATATGCCGAAAGTCCCACAAATCACCAGCCGTAGGGCAGAGATGATAACATATCATTTAAAAATGATATGTTAGGCCGTCGTATAAGGAATAAAATACCGCATTCCGATAGCCTAGTTATCTCTCGGGTAAATATTGTTCTTGACTTTTTCTAATACAGGCTGCTGTACGCCCGAATTGCACCTCGGGTTTGACAAAGCAACCACTGGTCAACATGAGCTAGACGGACGCCGTGCCCAGTTCCCTTCTGGAGCCAATGAGGAGAGCCCTTGTGGCAAGTTTGCAGACCTGAATGCTGAAAATGTGCAATTCAATAGTGCAAAACTAGCAACCAAAACTGACGCAATAACCATTTCTCTTTGGATTAAATTGCTCTCCAAAAATGGTATCCAGCCAGTTTTGGTTGTAGCAGGAGAGGATGGCGAACTTAGGCTGGAGATTGCCCAAGGTCATCTCTCTTGGATGTACACTTCAATAGGCACACCATTGGCCACATTTGCTCTCCTAAGTGTAGTTCCAGTCGTGCCAGCCGGTCTGTGGACGCATCTGGTCGTGCAATACGACGCCTTCACTGGGCGATCTGCGGCTTTTCTCAATAAAAAGGAAATACTGCAAGGTGTCTCAGGCGGAGGTTCTCTGAAAATAAACTGGGGAGAGTTCACGACCATAGGCCAATCTTACATCAACGAGGTGTTACGACTCAAAACGAAAGGGAACATAGATGAGTTTTATATCTACTTCTGTGCCGTTCCAGAGATGGTTATCCAAAGACTCGCTGACTCGTGTCACGTGGACGGAAAATGTGCAGCGATTGGGCCAGGTAACATTGTAGGCTTTGCTACTTTGTAGAGTAACTGTTTATTTCTCAATCTATAGCCTTCAAACATCCAGTCCTGTCGGAGTAAAGGGGTTGAGGGGAAGGGGTGTAGACGGGGTTACACAGTGTCAGTAAGTCTGCCCTGGATGTCATTGGGGTGCGGCACGCATACATTATACTAGTTTCCTAACGTGAAGTCAATCTTGGATACCAAACGTACCTGAGTTTCTGCCTTTCTTCGTTCCTATATTCCTTCCTTTTCCCTTTATCAATTTATCGTTATGCTAAATTAATTCGTAAAATTATATCCTTTTGCTTTTCCCTATTTTCGCCTTGTTTTGAGCACCACAAATTTGGATGAAAAATATTTCCATGTTACAGGAGTAAAAGATCCATGTGATGCCCACGATGCATTTTACTGTAAGAATGGAAAGTGCGTTGGGCAAGAATGGCGCTGCGATGGAGAAAACGACTGCGGGGACTGGAGCGATGAAACAGAATGTGGTTAGAGTTATCTTTTTCTAACTGATATGGAAAAGTGCCCTTTCCGTGTTAATGTGTATAGCTACAAGTTAACAAATACTTGCTCATTTGGCATATAGAGAAGATCCAGGCGTAGTTAATCGATAAACCGATAATCGGTAACAATCGATATCAGTCTTCCGATATCGATACATAGATAGCCATAAAGAAAAAAGGCTTTGACTTCGATTATTATCTTTTGCCCAACCAAGTGCGACCCCTTATGCAAAATAATGGCAGCGATCTGGAGGATTTCAATGGCCCTGTATATACCGCATTGAATTGGATTCCAATGTGAGCGAGATTCGTGGAAAAACTGCAAGATGCAATCGATGAAGCAAAATGTAATTGACATGTAAAGATCCATGAAAACCAGAGGAACAGAAAATCAAGACTACACCAACGGTTTTTTTCTCAAACTGAAGAAGGGACATAAACCCGAAACGTTTGTATTTTTTTAGAAAAACATTTGACACTTTTTTTATATTTCTTTGCCTAATATCACCTCATCAGCTACACCTGGAGTACTTGCTGAAGTCAAAAACAAAATGTGTTAAGCTGAAGCTGGTCTCGTCGGTGTTGTGTGCCAAATAGTATCGTTATGTTCAGAGTATCTGAACCATATGCTCTTCAATATTATTACTTGTTATCGATCACTATCGATTGCATTGTTATCAATTTTTGTTAATCGATAATAAGTGATAGATTATTTTTTCTATCGATTTCCGATATCAATCGATGACAATCGGCGGATGAAATCTATTGATATCGATCATACCGATTGATTTCCGATATCGATTTCTATCGATTAACTACGTCTGGAGAAGGTGTTTTAGACTTTTTGAGACCCTGTTTTTGGGTGACTAAAGTTTTTAGGAAATGGATGATGAACTGGTTTAGCGCATTGATATCAGCAATGAGGCTTCTACACAGTTACAGTCTACAGGCATGTTATATACACTTGTTGGGAATTCTATCTCTTAATGTCAATATCTCCCTATTAACTACCTTGACTCTGCCTTCCGACTGTCCAGGGCACTAAATCGGTGTATTTCACCTATCTTGTTTTCCTACCAGATGTTCTATGCTCAGTTGGGAGTTGCTTGTTTAGTGTTTCCTCTGTACGGCGTGCGTGTCAGCTTTTTTCAGTGTGCTTTAAAGGGACATGTTCACAGTTCGGCGCATGTTCATTAATTAAATTACTTTTTTTCCAATTTATTATTAATTCTATCGGTTAATAATCCCACTCACATGTATCTCAGCGATCTCAGAGTGTATTTCAAAGAAGAAGTGTATTTCAGAGTAATCTGAAGTGGGATGGAGGAGTACTAAAATCGCAGAAAAACTAGTGGATTATGCCAACACTACCAACGTTGAATTTATCGTTGTCCCGAAGGTTTTATTCCATGGTGGATAAATTTACAACTTTTTGCACATAAGTTGATCACGTGACTGCAAGGGGAGTGTCCAGATTGGTTCTTTGACAACATTATGACATGCTCATTTTGCTTTCATAGACGATACAGCATGTCCCGGCAGAAAAAACAGCATTTTCATTACCGGGCATGCGCTGAACCGTGAACCTGTCCCTTTAATTCCTTTGAAATGTTAGATAATGGAATACCACTCTAGATGCCTGGAACAAAGATTGTTCTGTACTATTTCTACCATCCATTAACAAAAGCATTTATTTCGTAGATGGCTTCTGTAATCCAGGAGAAAAAACATCTTCCACTAAGGGGAGGTGTGTGCCATGTTTTTGTATGGGGCATTCTCAGGAATGCAGTAATTCACAGATGTACCGGAGCAGGGTGAGTAATGAACATTGTCACATTTCCACACTTTGAAAAGCGTGTAAAATCAAATTTTAGTTAAAAAAAAGTGTGGAGAAGCTTGAAAATACGATCGGAAAGTAAAGTTTTGGAGTTTATAATGCATTTTAGAAGATTGGAACGGAGTGACTTAGAGCATTTCCAGATAGAAACTTTCCCACCTTTGTGATAGTGGAAAAGAAATCGATAACCGCACACAAATGAATGCCAATCAGTTAGACTGTTGCAGATCTTAGCTTGGTCACGATATGCACGCCTATTCCTGAAAGGTTATGTTCAATTGCTCATGTTAGGGCCCGAACCCTGGTCGGTAAATCGTTTCGACCCCTTTGAGACTGGACTTGTAATGTGATGTCCCTGTCCTGGACATCTTATTGTTTTAGTATTATGAGGTGTCATAACATGTGCTTTTCGCTCTTAAAGAAAATTGTAGTTAGAAGTCTGTAAGATGTGTTCACGATGGAACTCTAACGTTATTGTCATTGCTGTCAGGAAAAGAATTTGTTTTGGAGTCCAAGCAGAACAGATTACAAATAAAACTTCGTTTTCAAGCTTCTTAACTACGTTAAACCATATTGACAATAAATGGAAATCCGTTTCGTTTTGAATTCTTTCTTGAAACAATTAGTAAGAGTACAAGAAGTCTGTGAACTTTACCACGGGATTCATGTTTAGTATCATTTTTCGCTTTCTCCACTGACCTTGCAGAGAGCTGGTAGATGCTCATTTTTTCTTCAAAGTTTGGGCGGTTGGGCGAGCGGCGAGTCGCTAAATCGAGACGCGCAAAGTGACCGTCGCGCGTGTGGTCATTTACTGTCGCGCTAAGAGCGCTTGCCAAAGGTCAGAAATGATCTGAGTATGGCGAGTCGTTTTGAAAATAAGACACTCTTTATAAGAGTTTTTGTTAGAAATCCATCACTTCCGTGCATATTTTTTAGGAAACATGGCGTGACATAGCAGGGCGGTAATTTTAACGACTAGACCGGTCTGGCCAGCGCGTTCTTGCTAATGTGAGCCCTCTAAGATAAATGGTAGATATACTAGTAGTCTCCTTACCCTGCGGGTCTTATTTCAGATGAATCTGGAAATAAGGAATTTCACCGATGGACCATTCATCCGTCTAGTAGGTGTCGATGGGGAGAAAGTGTCTGGCATAACTTACACTGCAGAGAAAATTAACAATGAGGTAGTGGCTCATAACATTTCCAAGCAGATGCAATATTACTGGGCTCTACCGAAAGCGTTTTTAGGGAACAAGGTAAAGATCTCGTAGTCATAGCTTCTACATTGCTAAAGGGAAAGGTTCACGGTTCAGGGCATGCTCATTTACCAAAATGCTGTTTTTCTGCCGGGACATGCTGTACGGTCTATGCAAGCAGTATGATCATGTCATAATGTTGTCAAAGAACCAATCTGCACAATCTCCTGGCAGTTTCTTGCACATCATCAACTTAAATATTTGCAAATAGCTGTAAATTAATCAATCATGGAATAAAACCTTCGGGTCAACAATAAATTTAACGTAGTTAATTAGTGTTGGCATAATCCACTAATTTTCTCTGCTATTTTGGTACTCCTCCATTTTACTTCAGGTTACTCTGAAATACAATTCTACTCTGAAATATATTCTGAGATCGCTGAGATACATATGAATAAGATTATTAACCGATAGAATTAATAAAAAATTGGAAAAAGGTAATTTGATTAATGAGCATCCGCTTAACCGTGAACCTGTCCCTTTAAGGTCCTCTCAATCATAGCTGAACCAAAAATGAGAATAAGCTTCTTCCATGGTCGAATTGTCCGTTTATAAGTTTGAGGAGAGTGTTTTTGTAGCTGCAGAGAACTGTTGTATAGGATTCATTCAACTTGTAGGATTGCAGTTTAATTTCATTAGCATAAAAAATGTTGAATTAGTCTTTCTATTTAATTTCCCAAGTTTTTTGTTTTATCTTTCAATCCCAGATAACAAGTTATGGTGGAAAGCTTCGTTTCACTGTCAAGCACAGTCCAAAATCTCTGCCTAAACATGAACGAGTTGTGAGGGAAATAATTTCCTTCGAGAACTTTGAAGCAGACTTCCTTATTGACAGGAAGGGGAGCGAAGACACAATCGATGGATCTGGAATAGAGGACGTCACCACTCCAAAAGCATCCACAACAAGATCTTATACGACTTACCCTGTAACAGATATAGCGACTGAAGAAGATGAAACAATCACGTCTGTTACCTCTCAAGCCTACAACACTGAGAGTGCTACAACAGTAGCATACACATCAGGACCTGACACGACCTACCCTGTAACAGTTGTAACTACAGAAGAAGATAAAACAACCACGTCTGTCCCCTCTTCCCAGCATACAGCCTAGAACAGATATACCAACTGAGCAAGTACTGTCCCAGAGGCATCCACAGCAGGACCAGATACCACTTATCCTATAACAGATATGGGTACCGAGGAAGATAAAACACCCACGTCTGTTTCTTTTTCAGCTTATAGTACTGACAGTACCATCCAGGAAGCATCGATAACACTACCAGATACGACCTACCCTGTAACAGATGTAGTGAGTGAGGAAGATGAAACAACCGCGTCTGTTCCATCTTCAGCATACAGTACTGAGGGTACTACCACAGAGGCATCCACAACAGGATCAAATACGACTTATACCGCAACAGACGTTGCTACCGAGGAAGATGCAACAAGTACATCTGCTCCTTCTGCAGAATACGGTACTGAAAGCACCACCCTAGACGTATCCACAGCAGGACCTGAGACGACTTACCCTGTAACAGATGTAACTCCTGAGGAAGATGAAACAACCACGTCCGTTCCCTCTTCAGCATACACTTCTGAGAGCACTGCCCCAGAAACATCCACCAAAAGATCTGATACAACTTACCCTGTGACAGATATAGCTACTGAGCAAGGTGGAACAACCTCGTCTGTTCCGTCTTCAGCATACAGTACTCAGGATAATGCTCCAGAGGCATCCACTGCAGGACCAGATACGACCTATTCCTTGACAGATATAGCTACCGAGGAAGATGAAACAACCACGTCTGTTCCATCTTCAGCATATAGTACTGAGGGTAATCCCCCAGAGACAGCCATAACAGTATCAAATACGACTTATCCTGTAACAGATGTGGTGACTGAGGAAGATGAAACAACCACGTCTGTTCCATCTTCAGCATACAGTACTGAGAGTACCATCCCAGAAGCACCCACAACGGGACCAGATACGACTGATCCTGTGACAGATATGGTGACCGAGGAAGATGAAACAACCCCGTCTGTTCCCTCTTCAGTATATATCACCGAGAGCATTACCCCAGACTTATCTACAACAGCACCAGATACTACTTTACCAGTTACAGATATAACTACCGAGGGAGAGGATGGCACAACCACGTCTGCGCCTTCTCCTGCTTATAATACTTACCGTGCTTCTAAAGAGGTGCTTACCGAGAAAGAAGGTGAACCAACGACTCTCTTGCCCTCGTCTGCCTACAATACTCACATCACTACTTCAGAAGTATCTTCATCAATAACCGACACGACTTTTCCTGTAAAAGATGCAGCTACTGAGGGTAAAGAGAAGGCAGCCACTTCCGTGCTTTCTTTAGCTTACAGTATTGACCATGCTACTTCAGAAGTATCCACAGCAATGTCAGATATTACTGACCCTGCAACAGATGCAACTACCCAGGGAGAGGATGAAACAACCACGTCTGCACCTTTGTCAGCTTACACTTCTGATAATAGCACTAAGCAAGCGCACACAACAGTATCAGACTCGACTTACCCTGTAACAGATGCAACTATCGAAGGAGAAGATGAAACAACCACGTCTGCACCTTTGTCAGCTTACACTGCTGGCAGTTCTCCTAACGAAGCATCGACAGCGGTACCAGATATGACATACCCTGTAACAGATGCAACTACCGAGGGAGACAAAGAAGTCACGACTGTTCCTTCTTCAGCTTATAGTACCGACAGTACTACTACGGAGGTATCCACGGCAGTACCAGATACCACCACCTCCCTGCCTCGGTCGGTCTCCAGAACTGAAACAACAGCTACTGAAGCATCCTCAACTGTATTAGGTACGTCCACCACAGAGGCACATAGATACACGGATGACCAGAAGGAAAGGTCGGCTGCCATACCTTCCACATTGTATGGTACTGACGACCTCTCTACTCCTTCAGTAACCAAGCGATCAGGTACGCCCGTTATAGATGCATCCAGCGACGCTCCTTATGAAACGACATTTTCGCCAACCTCTATCCAAACGACGGAGAGGCCTTCTACCGACGCTTCTGCCACTCCAGTCAGTAGAATTACAGACGCCGTTCTAATGGTGGTATGTATTTCAACTTCAATTTTTTTTCAGTTAAGTTGATACTTTTTGTTTTCTCCTCTGCCTCAGGCCAAAAGGCAAATTTACCCCACCGGGTAATTACCGGCGCATTTTAGAAACGGGCCTCTGATAATCAAAGCTCTTTTCTCCCGCGTCTTAGCTGTGACTCCATTCTCCATTTTTTGCCTTCTTTTATAATAGTAACTTTGATTACATAGGGCAAGGACGCTACCTTGGTTTTCCATCGCGAGTTACGGTCAAACAGTGACAACTCCCAAGTAACAATGGAGGTCTCTATTACTGAGGTAGCCTAATCTATGATTCATCTAAACATGGTAAACCTACTGTAGGCTATGTTCACACTTGGTAACTAAGCACTAGTTCCTGGCTGTCGGCACAAAATGGTGTGGTCTTCACTGGGAGAACTTGAGTGCCCAATATTCAACTCATATTGTCAGACGCCATTTTGAAGCGTGAATGTGTCATGGGTATGCAAAGTATTGGATTGCCTCAGAAACAAGTGCACACAGGCTAACCAGGAAGAGTACCGTACTCGGGCACCGCGCTCCGGCAACAAGTGTGATCACAGCCTTAATGCTAAGATTGGTTTTTCCTTCACTGTGAAGAGTGTATTGTTGATATCGATGTCTTATTTACCGTGTAAGCTGCTAAGTTTGCTCTTATTAACTGCCTAGCCTTATCTAACTCAATGGCAATGACGATAATATGTAAATGACACTAGCAACTGGCAAGTCAAATGTTGCTCTTTCAAGTTTTGCGTGACGTTTTTTAGAACAGCTTCTCAGGGCACGAAAAAAGGTTCCACCCAGTAGTCCCGGACTAGTAATTTTTCTTGCTGGGCAAGTAACTTTTCAACCTTACTTGCCCAATGGACAAGGGTCCACGCAAGTCATCCTCTAACAAAATCATTAGTAAGCTTTTGCAACAGGACGGGAGAGGAAAGAAGACGGAAAACCTTGTGTGACAATCGTGACAATAATTTTGTTTAAAAAACGTTTTCGCCGAGCTTCAGCCTCCTTTAAACAGGCCCTGTAAAAGACCAGAAAACATCAACGTAAGGGAAGATCACCACAAAACACATAAGTAATAGGCCTGTCGCGTTTGTCACACATTAGCGTTTTGCCGTCCTCTTCTTTCTGCCGTCCTGTTGCATAAACTCATTATTAACTGAGACCAGAAGTTGCCCTGGGCAAGCAAATTGTTAGAGATGTTTGCCCAAGGGACAAGCAAGAATTCAATTTTCTTAGACTTGAAAACCTACTGGGTCTTTCAGAATTTCCTATATATGTCTGCAGTTTATTTTAACTTGTATTCATGAATAATCCAGCGAATTCTTATTCTTTAAAAATGACTTTTTGCAGTTTTACGTTTGATTGTGTGACCTTTCAGGTCAAATGGCGTTTACCGAATGGCGTGGAAACGTTCAGGCACACTTTCATGAGAGTTTTGTCAGATATACAGGCCATCTATATCAGAGCGTCATATGGTGGCGATGCATCGAATCTGGAGTCTCTGAGGTGATTATACTTTGCTCCACCTGTCTTTGCGCTAGTAACTCTGTTTGAAAGTTTAATTGACCTTTGGTTTTGTCCTCTTTAGCATCAAAGACCTTTCCCTTGACGTGTCTAGCCAACACGATGCAGGGTTTGGGAAAGCCCTGTTGGTAGAACAATGTGATTGCCCTGTTGGATACAGTGGACTGTCGTGTGAGGTAATATAACAATGAAGCAAATGTTTGTCGAAAATATGTAGTAGTCGTAGTACCCTTATGACAGCTTACAAAAGTGTTTTCTTGTGATATTAGCTGAATTTTTCATGTCTCTATTAAAACACGTGAAATGCAGTTTGAAGAGTTTGAAGATTTTGGAAAACAATCAAAAGTTCTAGCCGACCTTTCTTTTCCACTGGTCCGATTTCTCACATTAATCTTTTCACACGAGGAGTTGTGTTAGAGGCATTTTATCTAGCTCTGGATGAACACCAGAAACATGTACGTTCAAGCTGCTTTATTTTCACGAAGTCCTGAAAACGACATGGTGGTATCTGTAACATTCGGAGTGTAAGGGAAGACTGACGAGTTCTTAACTCTGCTATACAAGTCTGGAGTCTTCTCAAAACGATATTTTAAGGCTAAATTAGATAGAGTTACACTTTCCGACCTAACGGCAAAAAAAAAAAAAACACCTTTTCAATCTATCAATGTCAGATTTCGAGAGAGGATTGATGAATTGCTTGGTTTTGGCTGACCTTCTGCCCCTCTTTGTTTCAGTCAATGTAATTCGTAACATAAGCACTTTCTCCTCTCTAAACAGTCCTGCAAACCGGGTTATTACAAATCTCGTGTTGATCCCGACACCGGTGTCAACTGTGTCAAGTGTGACTGTGAGGGTTATTCAAATGAAAGTTGTGATCCCGAAAGTGGCAAGTGTAACAGCAAGGTAAGTGGTTACACTCCTGATACGTAAACCAGTAGTTTCTGTTGAGCCTCTAGTGAATACCAAGTGAGACGTGATGGGAAGTAAGGAAAGCAAAGGTGTGAGACACACTTCTTTCCTCTTTCCATTTTACCCTTTGAGCCGGTAGAGACAACTGAGAATGAATTAGGTCCCACTCTTAGCAAACGGTCGACTGGAAAATCGGGATTTGGATTTTTGAAGTCCCAATCCAGTTTTGCCAAACAAATTCAAGATTCAAGGCATATTCTGACAAACAGAAATCCTGCGGTGTGGCTTTCAATTAATATATTTACTGATTCACGAAATTTGTTTTTAGATTTTACGTTTGATTGGGATTTCCGTAAAATCGGGATTTCAATTTTCCAATCGAACGCCCCTTGTTCATAAAACCATATTTCAAATACAAACATGTGACCAAATTGGAGATTTTGCAAACAGAATATCCATCCCACGATTTTTCATACTTCGCAGCCCTTAAGTTTTTCTACGTGTTGAAATGAAATTCCTTACCAGCCTTTTCCGAACCAGGCAGAACACCACCACTGTTAAGCTGTTCTATAGCTTTGTACGGCTACAACCTAACTTTGACAAACAGGAGATCTTTAAGATCTGCATTTCCCTTGAGTTCCTCTACAGTTTCTAGCACTTACCGGTATATTGTCGTTTCAGCCAATTCTGTGAGGCGTTAAAGTGATAAACTTAACTTACCGTAAGCAAGACCTAACTTCTTTAATGAGCTTACTCGTTGTTCGCACTTTTGTTTTGACAGTCTTGCAGACCAGGTTATTATAAATCAAGGTTTGATGCCGACAGTGGCAAGTGTGTTAAGTGTAACTGTCATGATCATTCAGATGAATTCTGCGATCCAGAAACTGGACAGTGCAAGGTCAGCGGTTCCACCCCTTATGAGCAATTCTCTTGTGTCTGTATGATTTTATTATTATTTTTTTTGTTGATGCTACTGAAGTTGATCTCCATAGAAGTTTTTTTTCTTATTATTTGTTACCAGAATTGCCTACACAACACCACAGGTTTTCACTGTGAGAAGTGCCTGGAGGGTTTTTATGGAAACGCTACAATCGGAGGACCAACAAACTGTAAAGAATGTCCATGCCCCATGACTTCACCCCCAAACAGGTCAGTAAATACTCTACAGTGGAATCATAAAAATTGCGAAGCCTCTGGGGAAAATTAGATCGGTTCGAAACTTCGAGCGGGCTAGAATAATTGAGCGGGCGGGTGGTGAATTTTAGGATGGTTGTTAAAATTGGGACTTCGAAATATCGAAATTCCACTATACCAGTTTCCATCAACTGTTATTGAGATTGGACATCATGCGTGTAGAGGAAATGGGTTGTGAAGAACTCAAATGTACATATATGTATGGGCTTCCATATGCGGGTTCAGGGGTTTGTTGTTTCTCTCCCTTTGCTCCAAGAGGTTTTTCTCTGGGTATTCCGGTTTCCCATCTTTTTTAAAAAAAAATTCTCAAATCCTGATTCGTTACGGAACGCACATAATTATGTAGATGTTGTAGTTAATTTTTTATTTCAGTTAATTTTTGTTTTTCCATTGTTTTGGGGTATGGTAATGTATGCTAATGAATTTAAAACAAAGGAAAAACAAAAATTAACTGAAATTAATTAACGAACAAATCATCTGTTCTATGCTCGCTCATGTTCTATGAATGCCCGGATCCATTTAATTCTTAGTTTGTTTGTTTGTTGTTGTTTGCTTGTTGTTTGTCGTTATTGTTGGTATTTTTTGTTTTTATTTTCGTTTTCCATTTATATGTACCGTTTAAAAACGAACAGGAGTGTAATGCTGGGCTGAGAGGTTTTTGAACGGTTTTAAAAATCCCAGATATTGATCAACTTCCATTTTTAAGATTTGAGATGTTTAAAAGTCAAACCAGGTGTATTATCCTCAAGAATACAATGACTTACAAAAGTTGAACGGTTTTAAAATTGCTCTGATTTAAATCAACTCATTCTTGCACTAGTATTAAGATTTGAATTTGTTTTGGTCTTCAAAGATTTTCAAAAAATCGGACGTAAAGTTTAGCTATGTCTTTATCAGATGTTAAACGACACTCATCAAACAATTAAATTCTCTCTTTTTTGTAAAAAATCTTAATGAAATTGTTAAAATTCTCTCTTTTTTTTTTGTCAGTTTTTGAAGTTCCATTTAGAGATGCCTACCTTCCTTCACCAGCCTCAACATCACTCCTTTGCCATCATCATCGTCGAAAGTGATTGTCTAGGTACCAGCCCTCACAATCATTTTGCGTGACCGTTGACGTCAACATCAGCATTAGTATCATCATCACTCCTTTATTCATTTTTAACCTTTCTACATGAAGTGGATTCCCGAGTTTTTCTTCAAAAACCGAGGGTTCCGAAATTGTGACTGTAAGTTGTAACAGCCAGTTTTTATTTATTTCAAGCCAATCTATGGGTTTAATATTTTGTCAGGTTTAGTCCCACTTGTTTTATGGCAGATGATGGCCAGCCGACATGTGACGCATGCGCTCCGGGTTATGGCGGTAGAAGATGTAACAGGCAAGTTCCTATGCAGTCAATAGTTACCGTTCAATTGTCGTCATTTTCAATTAAAGATCCCTTCAAGTCAACGATTTATTTTTACTTTTTAAACTGATCGTTCCACTTATTTCTCTCAGGTGTGTCAAGCCTTACTTTGGCAATCCTACTGAGCCGGGAGGGACGTGCAAGCGTGGTAATTGTTTAATTATGGAGATTTAGAGTCCGTTCTGCTAAACGGCGCGGCAAACGTGAATTTGTACCACGTGTTTAAGTTTACTCCTACACAAAAAGTAGTAGTCTCACGCCAGTTCCATCCAATAGAATAATTTCTGGTTGTTTTTATCTGCTAATTTTCTGTTATGGGGAATTCTCAACTTGAATCCTACGTTTGTCGTTTGCCGTGACTAAAGTGACTCTTTAAGTGTCTCAATACAGTTTTTCGGAGACCATATACCGATATTTTTCAATGGGCTTGAAATTGATTTTATCCTTGTCCAATCACTATGAAATTTTCACTACTGACTGACTTTGGATTGAAGTTTGTTAAAATACGGTTTTAAGTAAAATCTATATCACGATGAAAACAATTTTCAAAAATCTTTGAAATCGATAGAAACCGAATTTTGCGCCATCAAAAACTTCTACTGAAAACCCAACACCAGAAGTTAAATGCGTGGACAATTGGAATATATCGCAAAATAATGTCTTTTACTATCTATAAAAAGTAAAACTTAATACAAACGTCCATACAGCTGCTTCCACTATCTATTTTTTTTTCATGTTTTGTTTCTTTGTAGAAGTTGATTGCAAATGCGATGCTCGTGGCAGTGTTAACAGCACATGTGATCCTGAGACGATGCAGTGTTTTTGTAAGGTACGCAGCTGCACTCGGTCTTTCCTTTATGTACGATGCTTTCCTATTCGCTAACCAATTAAACCTGTTTGGTGGTACTACTTATTTTTAGCATTTAACAAAATGAAATGTAGAACTTCACTTCAAGACACTCGCTAAAAAGAACCCAACATAATGTTCAGAAGTCCTTTAAAAACATCGCTTTTTTACAATGTATTGCCTGTAATTTGTTCGACGTTTCAAAGAAACAAAAATATTTTGTTTCTCTTCCATAAAGTCAAATTACAACGTCAGTCAACACTATCCACCCGGCTTATGCCTGTCTTTTCACGGTAGTTCACTGGTCCCGATTCTTTAATTAAACAGTAAAGAAATAAGATAACTGCCTTTTGTTACTTTATGAAGGGGGTAAAATGACAGTTTTAGCACCAAGAATATTTCCCAAGATTTCTGCCTTGAACTTAAACGGAATTTATGATACTCAGGAGCTATGAAACCTGTTGAGAAGTGAACACGGGTTTGTTTGTATTGAAAGTTATCCTGAAGCATATTCCTCAAGGCAAAAAATTAAAGGCATCTAATATAATTTTTCAACGAATTTGTGTGGCCTACGATTGATGTCTCCCTTTCTGGTTAGCTCAATGTCGGAGGCGAGAATAGTAATTATTAACTTCAGGAACAATAGTTATTGAGTTTTTCTGTAGAGGTGTACACTTTAAATAGCATTTTCTAGTTAAGGAGTCGATCATTGCAGAAACAGCTTTTCCCAACCGAACGCTGCCGCCGGACTCTCTAACGACCCTTTCGCCAAATCCTCTTGTACTTATTTATCGGTAACTCAAGAACGAATGCGGGAACTCCGAAATCCTAGTTTAATGATTGAGGGCTTTTCATTCTCTTAACTCGCCGTTTTCCCGTCAGAGACTGGATGTTTTCTTATCTGCCAGGTACAGTCTGCACCTCAGTATCGATCATTGCCTGTAATAATGTTCAGACCTTAAGATTCGATTTATTACCATATTTATTGAACATGTCAAGAGAGTATCTGGCTACTGAAACTGTCTTATAATAAACTGAAAATCGGAGACAGTAGGGCCATTTATACGAGGAAAAATAAGACGCGTCTTACGTAAGACGCGTCTTAAATAAGACGCGAACTGTACCATTTATACCAGCATGTCTTATCTAAGACGAGAACAGCTCGTATAAATGGTTCGCGTCTTATTTATGTTCTTGACTCGTTTTCATGTGATTGTTGCCCGTAGCAACGTCAATCCAACGTGGCGCGCCAAAAATTAACGCATGCGTACTATGGGTTCGCGTCCTATGTACGACGCGTCTTATTTTTCCTCGTATAAATGGCCCTAGTGAGATCTAGAGATGGTGTTCATTTCTGCAGTTTTGTTAAGGGAGGGCGTGGCAGGTGCCTAACAGAGACGTCCGAGAAGATCTGTTTTATAGACCTTAGCCACTTGGAGAAAGGCCTTAGTAGGCACTTTAAGAGAAAAACACTTTTTCTTTCTCATAAATACAATTCGGTGTTGCATTATAACACTTTTTGGACTGGACTACTGTTTTAAAAACGTATCTTTTATTATGTGCGTATAATTATATCTTGGTATTCATCCCCGGTTCAACCATCCTCGGTTTTCGTGCAATATTACTATTCGCTCATTCGTTTTTGGCACTGCATTACGGAAGTTGTTAGCTGACACTTGAACGCCGGTGAAAGGTTATTACAGACCTGAGAGAGAGATAACACCAAGGGTACTCACTTTAAAAATACTTTATTCTAAGAAACACAACTCATCATACACACGCAAATCAATACTTTGTAAATGTTATTCACATCTCGCAAAGTTCGCTGTTTCCACTGCTGTTATATAAGGAAAACAGTGCGCTAACTTCAAACGCTCCTCTCAAACAAAGCAGAAACTGCGATAGAATGCACGCCCCAGAATGCGGAATGTCCATTACATAGGTAACCACCAAATGTCCCTTATCTACGTAACAACTGCTTCGTGATAAATTGACTTCCTATTTATTTTGTGATTTACCTTCTAATGGTTACTATTTCTACTTATCATATCTGCAAAACTGTACTCGATTTTGCATAGCGCAAATTCTGCAAATTGGGCTTGACTATTTTGTTTTGTATATACAAGAAGAATTGTTATTTGAAATAGGGCGCTTTTCAGTTTCTTTCTAAGACAGATAAACAAAGATTGTTTGTAACCTAAACAACGCTTCATTTTGATTTGAAAGTTCGTGAAAAGTGTCAGTTTTTGAGGCAGATAATTTCATTCTAAAACATGTTATCTGCGATAAGATCTGGTTCAGAGAACTTCCTCGGAAGATTCAACAGCTACGGTTATTTACCGCCAGCATACTGTCGCTTCACCTTGAAACTTTTTTACAGTGCACTTTGCCTGCGCTTGTTTTTCTTGCCTTCGGAACATTTTCGTTGAGTAAATAAGTGAAGAAAGCTTTGCTGGTGTTGGCGTGTTCGGAGTTTATAAATACTTATGTTAAAACGACAAGGCTGTTAGGCTATTAATAACCTCTGCTTCGTTCGTTGACATACAGATTTGCAAAGTTAGTTAACTTCGCAACAACATGTGTAACACGCTGTTTTTAAAATGAACACATTTCATGCGCTTTTCGCATTAGTTTCATAACCTTCAGTGGAGTTCCATCGTACTGACAGCTTATTTCAACTCCATTCTCGACTGAGGTCTGATTTTTTGGCGCCCTGCCGTGTAAAAGAGGTGCTAAGAAGTTGAAACGGTAACCGGATCACTAGTTATCTTTCGCGACTTTTATCATTGAGGGTCAAAACTCAGTCAAAACCGAGGAACACTGGATTGAGTTTCACTTAACACTCTTCTAAGTTGTAATGTTCTTCGATGACGGAGAGATTGGAGAAGATCGCAGTTGATCAAAAGATTCCTGTAGAAAGAGAAGTCCCATAGGAGTAAATTCTCCCAGAAGCGATACGGAGTTCGGCTGATTTTAATCTTGAATGTCATTTGTGCGGAGGGCCTCCTTGAACAGTTCAAGTCAAAGCTACTCTTCGGTTCTGATCTACAATGAATACCCATTCCCTGCTTCTTGCAATCACTCTTCTACCTTTGACAATAGTACTTCTACTCGAGGTAAGTCAAATCATCTCAAAACGGATTCGATTTAACTACGCCTAGAGCAATTTCTCTGCAGATAGGCATTTTATAGATTCCAGTTTTGATTTGTTACTAGATAGACTGTTGTTTTAACTTCTATCTTGTGTAAGACTCCTCGTTTGCAAGATTTTCAAACCTTCGAGTGGCTTTTCGAGATCGCATTGCTCGTAATACAGAGTAAAACAGGAATTATACACAATAAGTGTTTGGCTTGAGACTTATCGAGTAAGTTTTCCTTCGCAAGTAAGGAGATTAGCTGCGATCAATGCCACCCAAAATCTGGCGTAATCCTTCAAACAGATGCAATTTAGTTCTCGATTGTTGATAGCAAGTTTCCAACAAATATTTCCTTCACTTTTGCAGAGTTTATGTATATACACTTGCTGTGTTTTAAATGCCCCCTCTGTGTGATTCACTTTTGTTGTTATTTACGTCGCGAAAATATGCATTTTCCATCCTAAATGACCTTTCACCCTATTATGCAAAGATTGATCTCTCTGTGGTGTGTTTTCTTTGTAATTCAAGCGACCTCTTCCAAATTGGACTGTCTGACTCTGCTTTTATCATAATTTACCTTGGTTTAAAGACACTTTTTGCGGACATTTTAAAGTCAATTTCGAAGAAAATTTAAAATGATACATGCTACAGCGAACAAAAACTGACGAGCAAAAACGACGGAAAAGGAGTTGGCTTTTTTTGAGTCTCGTTAACAAAGGAAATTGGAAATGCAAGGGTTATCGTAAACCTGACTCATCCTTTACAAACACACAACCTGTTCCAACTTAATTTGCGATACTGAGCAATTTGAGTGATACTTAACTGTCATTGACGTAATTATCTATAGTACAGTTGCTTTGTGAATGTATTAGAAGAAAATAATTGTTGGCTTTGCGCTTAAAAACGTGAGCTTATCAAACCACCCGGCAAGCCGGAAATCAAGGATATATTACTATTCTGTGATTGTTAGGAGAGTTAGATTTTATATCACAAACAGCTTTAATTTTGATTGAATCGCTTATTTCATGCCTTGTTCCTAAGACCGTACCACGATTTATTGTATAAGGGGTAGATTTAAGATTTCAACTCAAATAATCAGAGTATTTTATATAAAAGTAGGGGGAAATCCCACCATATTTGCCTTAAAGACCAATAATTCCTCACTTTTCAAAGGTGATAAAACGACTTTGAGGGTTTTGTAATCGTGGATAGTCTTCTTGTTGCTGATTGATTTGAAGAAGTCTGTTCGACACTAAGAGAGAGCATGAGATAGAACTGAAGCAGACTGTAATTTTCTTTGACGACTTTTGCGTAATCAATTCAATATAATCGTTTTTATTGGGTTAATTCTTCACTTGTGGTAGTTTTAGCCAAAGTCAATTCATTTGAGTTGGAAAATCTGTTTAAATTACATGAGACAGCTTTAGACATTAAACTAGACTGACTGAAATTTTTGCGAAAGAAAAGTACATTTTTAAAACTGGAAATTCTTTTAATTTACGGTTTATTTGCTGTTTCTGCAACGTAAACAATATCTGCGACGTGTAAAATCGCGAAAAAAAAAATTCTTTTTCAGTGGAGAAAGAAACAAAGAAAATATTGATGGTGTCGATCCGTTCCAACTGTGCCCGGGGGGGACCTCGCATATGAAAGGGGTGGGGATGCTCGTCGGAAATTTTAATTAAACCCCTAAAGGAGACCGATCTGTGCGTGGGCCAAACTTTTTGAAACCTAAAAGACCATATTAAAACACAGACAAATGAGAAAACTTGGATTATATGAATGGAGTAAATATAATGAATTAAAAATATACATATCAAATATATTTTTATATTTTTTCGCGTGACCTTCACG